AATTATAAACTTCCATTATCATTACGCAACTTAAAAATTACAAAAAATTTATGGCAAGAAGTAGCAAATGCTTTAAATGGAAAAATTACAGCCAATGAAGCCAAAACAAAATTTAAAAGCTTACACGATACATACCGACGAATAATTAGATCAGAAACAAGCGCCAGTGGATCTGCTCGAAAAAACAATGGAAAGAAATGGCTTCATTATGATTCAATGGAATTTTTACGAGATTCTTGCTTGTTGAAAACGTAAGAATTATATATTTTATATAAATGTCAAAAATAGTATATTTGATATAATTTGTAATAATTTTAATATTAATATCTATGTAATTATCGCTCAATTGTATAAAAACAATTATTAAAATGTCAAGAGTTAAGAGCGCAACAGCAAGTTGATCTATGCTAATGTTTTAGTTTATAAATATAACAAATGTTTTATCCAATACATTCAAGTCACTTTCAATATTAATACATAATATAAGATACTAAAAAAAAGAACGTTTCTGAGACATATTAAAATACTTAATTTTTTATCACATTTAGATATAATATCCCACTATAAAACCTGTATAATCAAAACTTATGTGATCAAAAATTAAGTATTTTAATATATAGGTCTCAGAAACGTTCTTTTTTTATTTTTTATGTATTAACGTTGAAAATGATCTGAATGTATTGATCAAATAACATTTATTATATTTATGTATGAGCTCTTAACCCTTGACACTTTAATAATTGATAATTTTAATATTTACAGCACCAGCAATATTGAGATAGATGATTTTGAAGATGTTGAAAACGAATCAAGTATGTATTGATTCGTTGAATATAAAATGTATATTCTCTAATATTGTACAAACATTATATTAAAACTATAAATATAAAAGAACATAAAACTTATTTCCTGTACTATTAGTGAATATTAGGACACAGTAATGTGATTTATTTTTTATAATATTTACTCTTTTTAGATAGTGGGCCCCGCAATAAAAGAAAGAAGAGTAATTTTGAGAAGTCTGCCAGTACAATAGAGAAAATTGCAAACGCGATATTGTGCGACAATAACGACATACCTATTAATCTTCCGCCTATTCCAGTTCCAGATGAAATTGATGCCTTTTTGTCAATGTTAGGATGCCAGCTGCGAGAATTGGGGTTACACAAACGGCGAAAAATAATGAAAAAGTTTTTAGATATAATATACAATGCTTTGGAAGAAAATGCGTAATTTTTATTTATTATATTTATTTATTATTTTATCTTTATATTATATGTTCTTTTTTATTAAGTATTTATATCATTAAATACATTAATTAAATATAATTAAATGCATAAAATTTATAAATTAAAGTCTATAATATTAACAATGATCAAATTGCCACGGTATAGCTCCCTCATTGTTAAAATATTGACAAAATTCTTCTCGAATTTGTCTAGCTTGGCGACTACTGGTATTAGTACCGCATTTAGTTATATCACGAAGTGCACTATTTTCAGTATATTTTCTCCAAGAACCAGGAATTAAACCATTTGGATCATCTTGATCAATCATTGATGGAGATATATATTGATTCTCTTCAACATCTTGCAAGCGAAGCCAATTATGGAGACATATTATTGCTTGAATTATTTTCATTGTTTGTTTAACATTACAAATGATTGGTTGCCTTAAAATTTTCCATCTATTCACTAAAACGCCAAAAGTGTTTTCAATTGTCCTTCTAGCATGGCTAAGACGATAATTAAAAATCATTCGATCTTGAGTTAAATTTTCTCTTCCCGGATAAGGTCGAAGTAAGTAATCTGATAATTGAAACGCTTCATCTCCCACAAGTATATAGGGTAAAGGTTGTCCATCCGACGTAATAGGTTCTGGTTCTGGTAAATTCATTTGTTTATTATGAAAAGATTGTCCAATCAAGGAACCTTTAAAGATGCTACCATCACTACGTTGACCATAAGCTCCAATGTCCACAAATGTAAAAATGTACTTTGCATTACATATTCCAAGCAAAACAATGCTGTGATTATTTTTGTAATTGAAATGTGATGAACTCGAATTATTAGGACACTGAAAAAATAGCTATTTAATTTTTATATTTATAATATTTAACTCGTATTAACAATGCAATAATATTATACCTGTATCAAAATATGTTTTCCATCAATTGCTCCAACACAATGTTTAAAATTCCATAATTCTTCAAAATCGTGTGCAATGTTCAACCAATCTTCTTTTGCTAAAGAAGATGGAAGTACTTGCTGTTGAAGATTATTCCATATAGCATTACATGTTTCTTCAATAATATCACTCACAGTTGTCAAGCCATTGGGATATTGATAAGACATAGAAGTCATAGAATCACCAGATGCCAAAAATCTGTACAATAAAAATTGTAATTAATTTATTAATATATTTAAAAACAAAACAAATAATGTAATTAAATAATTTTTGAGATTAACCTTATTGTCATTAATAACCGTTCTTTGGCAGAAATTGGCTCTTGAATTATCGTTTGTTTGGTGATTTGAGGAGCAACTAAAAGTAATAATTCTTCAAATTGTGTTGCCGTCATGCAAAAATAGTTTCTGAATTGACTTTCGTCTAATGATATGACAGGAAAAATTGAATGATAAAATCCATGAGTATGGCGTTTTTTAAATATTGGTTCAACACAAAAGCGTTTTTCATGATAATCTTTTTCCATTTCTTTTTGTAATTCATGAACTGCTAACAATGCAAGTATTTTTTTTCGCTTATTTTCTAGTTTTTGTTTATTAATGATTGTCATACATTTATTTAGCCATGCATGATATTTATATGTAAACGACATTTTAAATATTAATACAAGTATACTAATTAATGCTAGTCACTTTTTGCGTGATCTGGAAAAAATATTATAGATTTTTTAGCTGAACTAAATTAAAGTTTATCTTTCTCCCTTCATATTAAAAAGAATAATTCTAAATTGAAAGATAAATTCCGATTTTATTATTCCTTGTATACATACTATCTCATATAAAGTGGAATCCATAAACGTTGCCCAAGATTTGAGATGGGCTTAAGTTAGTGCATGAACCAATCAGAGAGCCATTCCTAACAGCACAGAGTCGACTCTAAGTCTATAGCTTCTAGACGTCTGAAAAATGGACGTCTGTACTAATAACGGCTGAATTCAATGTCAGATATATGTAAATTCTGCGTTTTATTAATATTTGTGATTTACTGAAGATGGCCAGATTGTAGCCGAAATGTCTAAAGATTTTTTATTAATGTAATGAATTAAATTTCACAAACAACAGTGCTGTGGTTTCATGCTCCTTTTTTTTATATGTTTGATTTATAAACCATGTTCGTTAGAATTATTTATTAAAGATTAAAGATTGAAATTTCACTAATGAGAACAAAGAAATTTTGGCTCCTTTTATTCTGATTGGTCAAACTTCAATCTCATTCTTCAATACGTAATCTGATCCGGCTTCATCATCTTTTTCTAATCTTTAGAACTTTTAGAATCTTTAGAAAAAGACAAAGAGTAAGTTGAACCAAAATTAAAGTTAATCTACGTTGATGAAAACGGGCATTAGAGTCTTAGAGCATATAAATATGGAGAGAGCATTGTCTATACTTCCTGTGGCCCAAATGTGTCCAAGATGCGTGTGAAGGCTTAAACACAATAGGCACAGGCAACAGGGAATAACGAGCCATCTAATCAGATAGGATATAATATCTAGGATATACAATATTTGGCTTTGTAAAGAGAGAATTCTTTTATTGTGTAGAGCTCCTAAGAACCAACCAATTACAATCGAGTATTCCCCTGGGGATCGACTCTGTATCTTGAAATGAGGTGAAAATTATAAAAGTGAGCGAATTTATTAGAATACTGATTATTTCATTGGCCAACACCTAGTAAATTTACTCGTTTTTGTAATTTTCACCTTGTTTGAAGATACAGAATCGATCCCCTGTTACAGTCGAACGATAGGGGAAATGCTCGACTGTAGTTGATTGGTTCTTACATTCTGAGCCGATTTAAACCCTCGGTGGAAACTAGGCCAGTGTTACTAAGAGTACGGTCAACGCTATGCTGCAAACGCTTCGCAGCGTTTTTTAATTGGTCAGTTTGTAAAATTTTTTCTTCTAATTGATCCATTAAACTTCAAAGCCTAATTCGTACAAATTAAAATCGTGTTGCCTAGGGATTTTTGTTAGTATCAACATTTTCCAGTCTAGTTTTTTGGGAAAATGTCATGTAACTCACAATTCTGGAGATCGATTCTGATCTTCAAACAAGGTGAAAATTACAAAAGAGAGCGAAGATGTTGACCAATTAAAGTATTAATATTCTAGTAAATTCGCTCACTTTTGTAATTTTCACCTTGTTTCAAGATACAGAATCGATCCCCGAATCACAATGTTCCCTTCATATGCTCTAAAACTATAGTATGCATTACACATATTATAGCATTTTCCTAGTTTTTCGTATGCGATACTTTTCACGAATAGGAGCCCTGAATCTTTCCTTATGCAAATTTCCTCTGTATTTATTACAAGAGAAATAATTAAAATGTTATCGTTTTGTCTAGTTTTATAAGACAGTGCTAATAAATAGCGATCAATTTGCATTGCTTACACTTTTTGTACTCAACATCTTAGCTTTTCCTCCTTTCAATTATCCAAATATATTATTATCTTGTTTTAAGTGCAAGACTTTTTAGAGATTTCAAACAACGCGAATAACAGCTCTTATTATCTTTGTCCAGAGTCAATCATAAAACTTTTTTCCTAAGATGAAAAATGAAAAATTTCTCCATTAATTTCAATTTAATTAAAATTTTCACTTTTCACTTTTTATCCTAGGAAAAAAGTTTCATGATTGATACCCAGATATTCGGCGATTTAGCTGCTGCACTGACTAGCGATATGACGTCACTCGCGATCGCAGCGCGGGCGTCCAATCGCGCGTCGCGACAGCATTTGATTTCCGAACGGCTGGTTGGAAGGGAGAGTCCTGGCTCTGGCTCATCCGGCAGAGTTCGGTCGGTAGTGCCGCAAATTCTCAACGAATCTTCGTTGTCAGTCCTTTGTGCAGGAGCTCGATCTCGCCTTCAAGATGACGTCGACCAACACGTATCAAGGCCTCGCCGATAGCTGCCGTAAATCTAGCAAGTGAGTACCTGCCATTACTCGTGTTTCTCTCGCTCGAGCCGGCGAAACCAAGAAAACACCCTTCCTACATCGTCGTCGGTTGATGTTTGAGGAAATGGGCTCATCGGTGAGCGAAACGCGCAACGCGACGCGACGTCTTGCCAGCTTTTATTAGCGCCATACGTTGGTGGCTTTATTTAAAATTACAATACATACATTACGAGAGTTTGCTTCAACAAGTTTTCTTGTGATTACTTATTTGTTTTTTATTATTTTTTTTAATAACATCGTTTGGCGCCAGAATCATGCGGATATATATCGTGCATCGTCGATTTTAATTTTAAGATTATAATTGAAGTTCTCGAGAGTTTGTAATTTGTTCACGAGTTTCTCGGATCGAGCTTTTCAGGTGGAATTTGTAATATTTTGTATTCGTTTATATTATAAATTTTTGCATAAGGTATACATTTAGATTATGCTCTGATATTTTTGTCATATACCGTCTTATCATTATAATATTTTTGTAGAATATAAGTATTTGGCGAAACGGACTTATTCACGTTGTATCCAATTCTTTGTTCGTCCCAATAAAAATAGTCACAATGTCAAATATCACGCTTAATGTATCAATAGTAATTTTTTGATGTAATTAATTTAACGCGAAAATAAATTTTACAATAGAAATTATACAGGCTCTAATGAAGTAAATTAAATAAAAATAAAAAACCTTTGAGAGCCAAAGCTGAATATTGTTGCAATTATAATTTATTGTATATAAATTATAATTGCAACATCCAGCTTTGGCTCTTAAAGATTTTTATTTATTTCTTAAATTTTGCTTTTTATAAATTTTCTCATTTTTTTGTTTATATCAAAATTATTTAATATGCCTTTAATATGTCTTTATATGTCTTTATATTTTATATGTCTTTTATATGTCTTTTATGTGTCTTTTATATGTCTATAATATTGGCATTTATGCTGTAAATACAGACTTTTACGGTCTTTATTTTAAAGTTGATCACGGCCAAGAATTGACCGATTTTATGCAACTAAAAAGCCACTTTTTATTTTTATTTTTATATTTTTATTCACGATTTACATTCTATTAATAAACTCGTAAAGAAGTTCGCAAAGTCAACGACAGATTGCGTGCAGTGTATTAAAAAAATACAAAGATTAGTGGAATAATTAGACTGTTATATAATCATTTAATAAAGAACTTTAATGAATTGAGAGATTACAATATGATTTTTTAATATGAAAGATAAATTAGTGAATGCATTTATTATTACAATAAAATGAATGCCAATATCGATTGGTTGAACGAGCAAAATAATTAAGACAACAACAGAATAATTTATACTTCGGTTTACAAGAACGGATTCATTACAAGTTATTTTACACACGCATGTGTCGTCTCTTATAATTATTCAACTAGATAAAAATCTAACATACACGTCCTGTCGCAATACAAAATATTTTTTACTTTAATTTATCTACTACAACTTTTTAAATCTAATTACTTATCCTTACTTTCTTCTTTTTTTATTTTTTACTTATTGCTTACTATCTATTTCTTATATACAAAGTTCTAGACGTTTTATTCTTTCTTCTTACATCTTTTTACTTTTAATCCTATTTTCCTCTCTTATCGTACATCCTGGAATTTGTCTCTGTCATCCTTGTTTTTCATGTATTCTTTTTCTTTCTCTCCCCGCAACTTCCGCAATATATATATTTTTCTTAATTGTATTTGAATCATAATCTCATATATCTTTCCTCGTTTTTCTTCTTATTGCTGTCTAATTCTTTAAACTAATTTCTTGTTCTATGATATTCTAATGAAGATAATATTATTTATTTGTCAAATAAGAATTAGCTATAAAAATTATTTAAATTAACATTTAATTTTTGTTTAATTTAATTTTCAAAAAATGATTAACAATGACCAGTAATTACATTTTAATTTCTATAACTTTTGACAATATATTATTTATTCAGTGATGTATAATTGTTATTAGCTTCTATAACGTTATTATTTTATAGCTCTGTTTAATTATGTTTGTAGTCGGATAAATATTTGTCTAACTCACAATCCATTCTTTGTTTTAATTTATATTTACAGCTAATGTTAATTATTACAGCTAATGAAAATTCAGAGAAGTTAAAATGTATTCCGCAGTATTTGCTAATTTTGTGTTTATGACTAATTTTTATTTAATAAATGAATATTAAATTATTTTTGTTATTTTCGTCTACGTGACATTTTACAGATATTTGTTTATTAATTCGATGAGCTTGATTTTTCTATTAATATTCTTTTGTGTTGTAAAATTATAAAACTTAAAAGGATGAAAAGATTAATCTTTATATGTGTATGCAAATACCTATAAACAGATTTTTTTTTTAAGCCGCCGATTTCCAAATGTGATATAAAAAGCATATTACAAAAATAATTTTTGTAACAAATGTTATAAATAAATATTAAATACTGACTGAAGGAAACTGATTACACCAATCGATTCTGTAGATAAAGTTACAAAGAAATATGTATGTCTAATTTTTTCAAATTTTTTTCTAACCTTACTAATCTACTTATGAGTTAGAATGAGTTTCGTAATCCTAATTTTTATTTATTTTTTGTACAATCGGAGAAAAAGTTATGTGTTTCTTTTCTGCAGAATTAATAATTGACGTAATCAAATTTCCTCTACAGTTAATATTTAATAATTCGTTTGTAATAATTATAAATTTTATGAACATGGGTATGCCTTGTCGCGCCTTGTCATTTTCCAAAAAAATCGAGGAACCATGTTAAGCAAGAGATAAATTGGTGATCGTATATGCAAAAAATCATTATATATTATGAGATTATTGCTTAATATTTAAATTTTATGATCATATCATCTCCTTTAATGCATAACCTTGTTTCTCACGTCTATATAGATGACAAAGATAACAAAAAATTCGTACATAGGGATTTGAGAAAATTTTTCAAATAAAAATAATTTTACGAAAATAAATTAAGAATATCAGTCCTACATGCATTTTTTATTTTATATTTTTATCAAATTAAAACTAAATTCTATTGACACATAATTTTATGAGAGTTTCAAATATTTTTTTATAAAAAAAAAACAGATCGAAAATTGAAGGCTCAAATAATTAAAACATGATAATAACCATACGAGGCTACGAGTCGAGCTGGGTTGTAGTATTATAAAATTATGATACTAATTATTATAAATTACATATTTCGTCAAAAACATTTCGACCATTATCAGATCATCTTCGATGTGTATAAAAAAACTACTCAAAGCTTAAAAACTATCCTATATTATAAGTATATAATTAGCATATATATCTATATATGTTAATAAGAGATATTCTTTTCTTTATTATAAATGTAAAAAACTGAAAAATTAACATAAACTGCTGTCATTACAATGCAAGTACTACACTGAGAGAAAAATGTTCGATATTTGTAATTATAATTATTTGTAACATATTACTATAATTATAATTATTGCTATCGTAACAGTAATTAATATCGTAGCAGTATTATTATAATTATAGCAATATGTAATTACAATTACAAATACTAAACTATTTTCTCTCATTGTATGTAGATAATTCGACAAATACTTTTCAAATGCTTTTAAAAAGTATTTGTTAAACTGTTTATAGAAACTGTGTTCCAAAATTTATTGTCAGTATTACAAATCTATAATGCACGTAAACTAAAGTATTTACATTGTAATGATAAATTTGTTCTTCAGTTTTTTACATTTATTATAATCGCGCACGTTGGTACAAATTAAGCGGTTGTAAGATTTGAACAAAAGGACATTAATTTCTTAAGTCGAAAACACAGAAAAAACAGTAAGCAATAAATGAATTAGCCAATCACAATAAAGAAACGTAAGATAATAACTGATACCAGTAAGATAATAACTGATACCAGTTCACTTATTGCTTATGTCTTAATGCATTATGACTTTGCATGAGCTTTATTAACATACAATAATTTACATATTAATTATATACCACCCATGGAATAAAATTTGCGAGAATTTTATTCATTTAATGTTAACTGGATTATAGACCGAATTTTTAAATTTTGAATAGGATTTTATATATTGCACATGATTTGGTAATGGTTGAAACGTCTGTACTTTGTTGATTAACAATAAGATTATAATTTATAACGATTAGTATTGCAATTTTGTAACACTACAATCCAGCTCGATTCAAGCCCTATATTATCTTTTCTATAAAATTTTTGCATCAATATTCTAATCTTAATTTTTGATCACTTTTTGGAGTATCAGCCCACTGTGCATTATTTGGTATGAGGATCTTTAACGAGAGTATTAAAGATATTCTGCGGTTTCACATGAAAGAGAACGAACGAGGAGAGAGAAAAAGAGATAAGACTCCCCATAGGACTTTGTAAAGTAAATTTCGACAAAAGAGGACTTTTAGCTCCGATGACCTTGCTATATGTTGTCATGACCCTGAGTGACTTCCAATAAATTTTAGTTGGTTATTGTTCTTCGTTTAAAAGTTATTGACAAGGAAAGTTTTTTATATATAAAAAATAATATCTCATTTCTGCTATATGTTATATATACTAACAATTAAATCCCGAGATAGAAAGATAGATGGATCTCGCTTCACATGGAAAGTCAAAGACCCGTGTAAAACGGTACACATATAGACTTCGTTTCGCCCTAAAAAGCAGTAAACTTTTTCATTAATAACTTTTAAGGACGATCACCAACTAAAACCTATTGAAGGTCACTGAGATTCATGACTTTGACAATATATGTTAAGATTATCAGAGCGGATATTAATCATAAAATCTTTCTGTTTCTTTCTCTTTTGTTCTTCTTGTTATAAAGCATCTCGTCGTTATTATTTTGCTAAGAAACGAGCCTCGCTAGAAAACACTGGTAGTTTATCGCGTTATCGTCTAATCATCACCGATGCATCATAATCAACGGGATACTGTGTAT